TCTCTCTCTCTCTCTCTCTCTCTCTCTCTCTCTCTCTCTCTCTCTCTCTCTCTCTTCAGTCGAAGGGGCCGAGGGGACTGGGGGCACGAAATGGAAGAAGGGTGGATGGCATCCCGGAGAAGAACGAGACGCATCGAGGCGTGAACGGGGGAATCGATGTGAAGTGAACGCCGAGGAAGAACCCGAAGCGGAGGAAAGTTTAAAGAACCAAAGCAACCAAAGGGCGGCATTGATTCAGGTGACAGCGATTTTACGCGTTGGCACGGGTTTGCCGGGCGGGGGTAAGGAGGAGAGACTAAGTTTCGAGGACCTCTGGAGGAGAGTTTTCCGTAAAAATTGAACGTAATTAACGGAGCACAATGCAAACGCGAATGACTCGCGAGGAGTCTGTTTAACGACGCAACTTCGCGAGGGCGAGAAAACAGCCTATGGTATTTCTAATCATCTACTTCCGGGCTTCCCACGATTCGAGGATGCGTTGTCGGAAGATAAATTCGACGAAAATTCGCAAAAGTGGCAGCGACCGGCTTGCATTGATTTCAAGAACGCTTTCCACGCTAATATCGCGACTCGTTGATCTCAGTCGAGAGTAGATTTAAAATGGGAAGTGGCATATTGACGTCCTTGAATTGAGCAAAAAAGAACGCTACGATAAGAATGTTTCAGACGACGATGACGATCAGCATCGTCGTTGTCGACGTCGCTGCCGTTGACGACGTTACAACATCACGGCGCATCCAGAGATAGGTATTGGAAAATGTCTTGAGTGGTGTCCCCGACGGTACCATACGTCATTTGAGACAATCTGCCGGAGCGAGGTTTCCTCATCCGTTACCTTCGATCCTGATTAGTTTTCAGCCTCTCACGAGTATCGTCGTTGATCTACGTCGGTGCAGGCTTTGAGCAGAACGCCAGGACTACCGAGGTAGTGTAGAACGCGTTCCATCCGCCGTAGTCAATGAATTATGATCGTTGTGGAGACACGTCCTTGTCCTTCGAGAGCGTGTATTGAATGGGCCGGGCGTAAGCCGTCGGATCGTAAAGCTGGATCGTAATTCGTAAGAGCTGGATATGGTACTTCATGCACATAAAGATCTCTCGCGGGTTACCTTGCGTGTGTTAAAGCCTCTGAGCTCCTCTCGATTGCCATACCGCTGATAATTACGTCGAGTCTCCTTAATGGAGGATTATTAGTTTATCTTAGTGTACTTCTCGAGCACGTGTCAAATACGCGAATATATCTTCAGAACAAAGCGATCCTTCGAGTCTCGCGATAGGAAAATTTTGTAGTCAGTTTTGCGCCGAAAACAATGTGTTTAACCGTGAATATTAGGATAATTTTCTTCTTTTTTTACGCTGTTTTACGCTGTTTTACACGTCGAGATTATTTCGAAGGGGAAGAGGACGTCGATGTGGTGCAAACACGGTCCACCGTGAGCGCGAAATTCGTAAACGCTTGATAATAATGCGCCCGATCGCACCGGTTCCGCGTAGAATAGTAGTTAAACTCGACCGGCTAAACATCGCGCGTTACATTTTCGTTATGAAAATGTCGCTACGTAAAAATAAATGGGCGCATTGTGCGCGCGTTCCGCGGACTGCGTCGAGTGTGTCGGCCCCGGCCAAAATATCCGGGACGGGCATTCAGGAAATGAATAAACGCACAATAGCTTGTCGGCGCAGAAAAGACGCGATCTGATTTATCGCACGGCCTCCATTTTAAGCGTGTCCAACGATCCCAACGTCATTTAACATTTTGATTAATGCGCGTCGTTACATCTTTTTATCATTTACGGAGGCGCGTGCGAGAACGTGTTGTTATTTCGCTAGCGCGTTACCGAATGAAAACGTCAATCGGCGCGGTCCGTCGAATAATGAGTGCGAGAGAGAAAAAGAAAGAGGGAGAGAAAAATGCCCGTTGAAATTGCGCCAAACAAACGTGAGAAATTTATTCCGGTTCCGTGAAGTATGTCGATGAGGTACGGTAAAGAGAGCGGGACGAAGGAATGTTATGTTAATTGCAGTAATTGGGTTCGGCCATAACGTGGTATTAACTAAGCCCAATAATATATTAACATCGATAATGTATATTTCTGCGACACGAGCCGCAGGTGCACATATAATTATGACCGTGTACCCGTGAAAACAGAAACGCTTTTCCCTGCTCTCCTTCCACCACGTGGCGGGTGAGCGGTGCAATAAAATGCAGCTGTCAACGATTGATTTGTTTACAGTAAACGCGAAGCTCTCGCTTTTGGGTAGTTTAGAATACATAGCCCGTGCAAAGTTTATATAGCCTCAATTTATGCTCGTCGTTTTGAAGCATCTAGCCCGTGCAAAACGCATTGCGCGGTGTAAATGGAAATAGACAGCGGGCATCTGCTATTTATTTCGCACAAACCGTATACAACCGTATACAACCGATGACGATATGCGTCGTCGTGGTATCCGTCGAAATTAACCGTGCATGGTAAACCACCGTTAAGCAAACGCTGATTTGCATCTGTCATTGCACAAGGTCGCACGTCTTCAATATGATTGTAAGATAAGTGACACATGAGTACGTTCGTTAACATGACTCTGGGTGCAAAAAATTGCAAGTCACTTGATACGTGGATTTTAAAATCTAACGAACGTAGCATATATTACGCATGATAAGCTCGCAATTATTAACTAATGCAAAGTATTCAAAATGATAGAGGATCTTTCTGTTCAGTTTGATATGTTTTATCTGCGCATGTACGTTACGTCGTTAATTGTCAGATATTCCCCGTATGAGATTAATTAGATTATTTAATAATTTAGCCTGGATCAATAACTAGAATAATAATGCCACATGCTAAAAGATTAGTTCTACTATAATATTGCATAAGATGTTTTTAAGTGAGCAAACAAAGTTTATCTTCGAACAATTATCGTTAAAAATTTTTATCAAATATCATCAATAATGTTTATCGATTATCTATAAAACTATTAATCAAATAAATATCATTAAAAGTATTTTACTGACTATATTTATTACTACAAGCGACATTTCAGTCTGATACGCGTGCATCGCGACCTTCGCCGAGAAGACCTCAAATGGTGTCATCAGATGACGTAGACACACTCGACTTCTAGACTTCTTACATTTTTTTATCGAATAAAGTTGCAACACTTCAAGTTAACAAAATTGAAAATCATGTTGACATGTATATACAGTGTGTCCCATAAGTTCGGCAACGGCAAGAAAACTCGGCGGGGGAGCATTTTAGAGAAAAATGTTTCGAATAAAAGTTGTAAGACTTAAAAAGTCGAATTTAATGACAGTAGTTATTTGACCTAAGATGACGTCGCCAAGGTCAGGACAAGGTCAACTTTGCTTTTTTAAATAGAAATACATATTTTTTATTACAGGATTTTATTCTACGTAAAAAAGCAAACAACTTTTGCTTGAAAAAATTTTTTATACAACCTCTATTTTCTAACATATTTACGTAAATATCTAAATTATTGGTTTCAATAATTTTTTACTTGAATTCTATTAACTTTACCGAAAAATATTAAGAGATAAAAATTGCTTATTTTGTTTTCAAAGAGCTCTGAGAATTTTTTCAGAATTTTGTGTTAACTTTTTAGTATTTCAAGAAAATGCAAGAAAATGCAGTACTAAAAAATTAATATAAAATTCTGAAAAAATTCTCAGAGCTCTATGAGAACAAAATAAATAATTTTTATCTCTTGATATTTTTCGGTAAAGTTGATAGAATTCAAGTAAAAAATTATTGAAACCAATAATTTTGTAGATATTTACGTAAATATCTTAGAAAATAGAGGTCGTATAAAAAATTTTTTCAAACAAAAGTTGTTTGCTTTTTCACGTAGAATAAAATGCCGTAATAAAAAATATGTATTTCTATATAAAAAAGCAAAGTTGACCTTGTCCTGACCTTGGCGACGTCATCTTAAGTCAAATAACTACTGTCATTAATTGCGATTTTTTAAGCCTTACAACTTTTATTCGAAACATTTTTCTCTAAAATGCTTCCCCGCCGAGTTTTCTTGCCGTTGCCGAATTTATGGGACACACTGTATATGTATACAGGGTGATTCAGAACAATCTTATTATAAAAAGTAGAGAAACCCGGCAACTATCCTTCGAGATAACAATACTAGCAACACTGTGATGAAATGCGCAGTTGGCACGGTTTTGTGTATATAGTAGAAGGATGAGTGGTGAGCACACGACACTGAGGCGACCATAACGATGTATCTGACCTATCCGGCCATCTTTTTACAATCTGGCTGGATAGCCGAATAGTCCAATTATCCGGCTGAATAAGCCGGATTATTAAATATTAAATATTAAAAGGTTGTTTTGAATCACTCTGTATATACATGTATACATATACGTGTATATATATATGTACACAGCGATCGGTTGTAAATATATAAAAATTACCTCTGAAAATATAAAGTTCTCTTAATTGAAAATGAATTCTTTTTTTCAAATTTCACGAATGTCGTATTCTATATTGTCATTGTGACTTCTGTCATAATCGGTTATCGAGCGTATACGTCAACAATGGCATTTAATTCTGTAGGAAATTCTTTGAAGATGGTTAAATAATATTTAATTGAATAAAATCGTTGTTCCCACGTAAATTAATTTATTAAATACGAGTGGTACTTGCCAGAACTTGACTTCGCTTTGTTTGAAAACTTTATACTTTACCTCTCGACGCTTTCACTCACTCTTTTTCTACATGTGACGACGCAACAACAGTCTTCTTCTCGCTCGCTCCGCGATTTGGTTCTACTCTACGACTCTATGCCTTTGCGTCTCCGCAACTGTCAACAATTGTGTTCACTTTTTCAATATTTTTATATTGCAGTTATTGCTTTATCTCGGATCATGTGATACTCATGTGATATCAACATGATCGCAACGATGAACATAGAAGATTAATATAAAAACAAAATAATATAAATAAGGTTATACATGCCGTTATATTTTCTGCGATCGCTAATTTTAAAAATTACCATAATTCTGACAACTTGAAGAGTTGCAATTTTATCCCATAAAAATCATTTAGCAATAGTGTGTGCAATCGCTGATAACCGCATAGAAGAGAAATAAATGTTTTGTCATTAGATGCGGCGAATATACTAGCGAGGAAAAAGAGTTCGTAAGAGACCGTCGCGTCCGCGAAACGTTATGATCGCGTCAGTGTCGTGTGCTCATCACTCATGTGCCTTCTGTAAATAAAACTAATGCCAACTGCAGATAATGTTATTCGCCGATATGTTATTCGCAGATAATGTTATGTCGTTAAGTTATCATCAACAAAACTTTTAGCCATAACATTCAACGACAGCGAGATCTCGTTTTTGTAAACTCGACACGCGAGTGTTCCTGCAGAAATAAAAAATCTAGGCTTCCCGTCATAGAACTGCAATATTTACGCAGAAGAGTTCGAAGCAAAGACAAGAAATCATCAAGAAAGAGCCCAATTATGCATTTTCGCCCATGAATTAATTTTACTTGTCTCTCTCAACGATTGTACAACAACACTTTCCGATATAATCATTTGAATCACAAATAAGACGATAACGCAAAGATTATCTATGAACTTCTTATCTTATAGATTACTGCGCTATTTGTTTATACGAAACATTTCACAGATGCTTGATACACAAAGATATATAATTATATCATTCATTACGAGACTTTTATATTGAATCATATTATCTCTTTTATTAGATGTTTTAATTTAAATTTAGCGCGTTCCATTGAGTCGCGGTGGCGTCGCTCGTTATGCCAGGGATGGTTAGATGTTCGTGCAGGCTTGAGAGAGAAATTGTACGCCATCTAGAGAGGTAAGGAAGAAGGAGTCAGTCGAACTCATGACGGCGTTATGTAATGTACGATAAGCGTCATTATGAATCAGAGTGGCATTGAGTCAGATTGTTGAATTCAAGAGCGATATTAAGAACACAACCTGTACGATATTCAAATGTATATATATATATCCTGGCGATTCCTTATGAATAAAGTGTTGGACCTTATACAGTTGGTCCTTCTTTGCCAAGGGACGTAAGGATTAAATCTGTATCTTCAGAGTATATATATATATACTCTGAAGATACAGATTTAATCCTTACGTCCCTTGGCAAAGAAGGACCAACTG